AGACCCATATTCTTCCACTGTCCGAAAATTGAGCGAATTTTGTTTCGTCTGAGAACAATACGCTCTTCCAAAAGTCCAAAGGCTTGGTCATCATATCACTTGCCAGGTCTTAATAAGGGCTTCCGTCTAGCTGCTCTGCAACGATAACCCAATCTGTGGAGAATCCGTTGAACATATTTCGGGCTCATCCCACCAACTTTGGTCACTTCTGCAGTCGTTAATCTGGGATACATTTCGATACTCCTCTTGACATCCGTTTTTGTCCTCTCCGGTGGACCAGGACGACCCGGACGCTGCTCAGTTGTTTCTTTGCCGTGTTTTCTGAACTGCACGATGATTCTGTTGACTGTCGAAAGCGGGATTCCCAAATTCTGCGAAATTTGCCGCTGACTTATTCCACCATTTGCTTGACCAACTATCCTTCCTCTAACAAAATCTGACAATTCGAGAGAACCTTGAGTTCTAGGCATGTTGTAGCACAAGATAATTAGTGTACGGACCATTTTCATTTATATAGTTCTCTGTGAACACAAATTAGTTAGCATAAATCAGTTGACTGACGAAACATTAGGTGTCTATTTACTTGTGACCATTGTGTTATAACCATAAATCTTGCTGAATTAGAAGTGAAAAATATATGATACTTAAATAAATAACTTAAAACTAAAGAAAGGTTCTGTTTTTATAAATATGTATATTATTTAGTCAAAAGTGAAATAAATACTCACCTACTTAAATATTGCAGAATTAAAATAACGAATGTGCAATTAAAAAAGCCTATATTCAAAAATTCACATTTTATTCCTACTGTAAAAACTTTCATGGTTGAATAAAACTTCTCCCACGTATTTATCTTTAGCTTGAGTGACATTTTATAATAGTTAGTACGGAATAATAAAAAATGTTATTAAGTAATACTGTGGAAAATATGATGCATAGATCTTATAATTTAAAACTTTACATTAAAATGAGAATATTATATGCTCACAAAACTCTTGAATTGAGCTTAAATTATTTTTATCTAAATTATAGTTACTGAAGGTAGCGTTTACACGTGGAAACCCTTATTTAAATACTATAATTAAAAGTTTTCCATTAAAAAGATAATATGGCACTTTATCACACATTTCAGTTTAGTACATTTTATTTATTTTTAAATTAGCATAACTATAATAATTTTGATATATGTATATAATACATACATGTGTTTATATGTTTTGTTTTTTGCCGATAATAATTCCATTAAAATATATTGTGAGTTTACACAATACGATTTGTTAACATTTTAAAAATTATTTTAAACAAGAGTTCACCATGAGTAAGGGCTATCTCATGCAATTAAAACGTTTTAAACACAAGGATCTGGAAAGGTTTGAAAAGTACTTTCAAAGGTGATGAGATGCGTTGTGTTACACTCTATTTCCTTTAGATGTTAAAATTGATATAACGGTTGCATAATTTTTATATATGTATATAATTTTTGTGTATCTGTTCCACAGCTCCTCGATAATAATTTCATTAAAACCCATTTTAGTTTTCTTAAAAATTGTTTGTCAACATTTATAAAATTACTAAATATTAATACTGCAAAGTGTTACCCAAATTGAAAAATAATAATAACACTGAGTAAGCCTAATACAAGTGTCTGGGCCATACACATGACCAAGTGACTAGCATCTCTGTAGCTTGATGCCGCTTAACACTCCCCACACTTTCAGCTGTTATAAAAGTTACAGTCAATTCTATTATTTGGTTCAAATAGTTAAAAAAGCGTATGGCGGATGCTGCTGACTGGCTAAGTTCCGTCTGATTAGTAGTTCAAAGTTAGGGAGTGTTATATTTTAATCCTAGGTTTTTGACCTAGCTGTCTGGTCCAAGTGTGCTTAAGGAGGTGTTCAGATTAAAAAATATGTATATACATATATATATATATATGTGCCCCCCAGTGGTACAGCGGTATGTCTGCAGACTTACAACGCTAGAATCCGGGTTTCGATACCCGTGGTGGGCA